CATTTTTGAACAGGACCAAAAAGTAATAGTATTTTATCATTGTCTGAGACCTGCTGAAAAGTCTGGATTTATTTTTTAATGTTCGTAGTCTGAGCAAACAAACATATACAAATAAAGATAGGTAGGAAAAAACAATCAATTCCATAGTTTCTACTGATCAAAATTCAGCACAAATTTCTATAAAAATCCCTACATTTTAAGCTTTATCTCAGATTCTGCACACAATACTTTTTACTTCTTACTCTTTAACTTAAATAGATACTTATTTTACTTGAGTATTTTTTTTGTTTCTGTACTTTTACTTAACAAAAATCGAGTACTTCTTCCACCACTGCTACAGATTTATTAAGTTGATCATGTGATAAAAGGCTTACTGTGCTCGCCCAAACCTGCACAGGCATATTATTAAAAATAAACTTGCCCTAATCTTACCTGCTTTTTAATACTCTTTGGACATTCTACCATTAAAGTTTTTAAAATAGTCTAATACTTGTCTACAGTTGCATTCACATTCCTTGAAAATCCTCTTTGAGCTGGTTTTCACTTTTCACTGTCAAAGTTTGAGTTGTGTCCAGGAAAATGGGCCTAAAAAGTGACATATACCACCATTCACTTAAGCCTGTGGGGTTGAAAGTCAATCCTGCGTCTAGTGCTCTGCACAGATTATAAAGAATGGACTTGTTCTGTCTTATGTTATAACTTTGTTCTATAGGTCACAATTTTTTAGTGTCTGAGGCCAGTACAAAACAAAATGTGCAAAAGGTTTAGTTATATTATATTTGCCCCTAATTTTTGGTTTTGAAATTACAAAAGAAATGGTTATGTATTACTTAAAGTTGCATTGTGTAACTTTTCTGGTGGAGGGTCTATCAAATGCTTTTTTCCATTTAGATGTCATTGCTTTATTTAATTAATTAATTAATTTATTTATTTTATTTATTCAATATTTTACAGGGAAAGTCAGTTGAGAACACTTTCTCATTTACAATGACAACCTGACCAAGAGGCAATATAAAACAAAAACACAAACAGAAAACACTTACACATAAACTATAACATGAAACAGTGAATAGAGATATAAGACAGTAAATCATTTGCAGATTAAAGATATAAAAGTGTTAAAAACATGTCCAATTATCCTGTAAAATACTCTGGATGGAGTTTTTGTCTGGAATGTTATACAGTATGGTATTAAACTTTCTATCATCATAAAGATCAAACCAGGCCAAGTTACACATCAGATCTGTGGAGAGGCGACCCCACTCAGAGTCAGAATGCATTTTTTGAGCTATAAAACTACATGTAATTAAAAAAAAAAAAAAGTAAGGTAGAGCTGTGGAACATTCCAGGCAGAGCAATGACATATCCATAGAAACAAGGGGGTGACCATATGGGGGTGAGAGACCCCCCAACCTAAAAGTTATATAGTGCACCTTTAAAATTTACAGATTTACAGTTAGATTTGTAATCCACTAATTTATTTATTTATTTATTTATTTATTTATTTATTTATTTTATTTATTTGTATTTATTTATTTTTGGTCCTAAAAAAAAAAAAAGAAAGAAAAAAGAAAAAGTTATCAAGTAAAAGTTACGGTCCAGTATCCACGTGGGACCCTAGCACAGGGAGGAGCTGCTGCAGGTACAGGCTCTGTGTTCAGTTTTATTACAGTGCAAAAAACAAAGCAAATTAGCAAAAATTTACAAAATGTGTAATTATTAATCCGCTATTCATTTAAAAGGGAACAGTTTGAGTTATTGATTCGTTTTGGTTAATTGGAAAGCAAGTCCGGAAATGTAGCCACTGTTAGCCTTTTCTGATCAAGTTCATACGATACTTTATTAGCATGCTAGCTTTACACAAGTTAAAGTGTAGTTTAAATACACGAAGATACATGAATATACCTTAATAAGTTAATACCTATACGTTGTGTAATCTTATGAATTCATTTTTTTGTGTGCGTGTTTTGAAGTTCTCATTATCGCTAATTGGCTACGGTAAACCATCAGCTTGTCCCAGTCAACACAATGGTGAGCTGTGCTTCCACGTGACAGTTTTTGTGTTGTATTAAATTATGTCAGTGTTAATATTTTTTTTTTGTCTTTCCTTCATGTGTTCCTGTGGGAAATAGTGAGCCAGCTTGGTGAACTTTACTCTCCTTTTGATTCTATCGTCAAAGTTGGATGAAGTTTGGGTAAGTAGGAAGTGCATTGATTAATGTCGTTTGGCCTGTGTACCAGTGTTACTCGCAGTTGAAAACAAATGTAGTGACAATAGAATAATAAATAGAGTGAAATCCGGTTTCTAATGACAAAATAGGCAACTTATAAAGATGACAAATGTGTATATACTTTCTCTTGGACCTGTTTACTTAGCCCAGTGATACACAAGCGCCTTCAAAATTTACTCTAGAGTCAATTTAATCCAGGTTTTTGTGGTTTTGTCCTAGTATACATCTATAATAGTCCTGTGTTAGACCTAGCTTAAATCTAGTGGTACCCAGATGGTTAAATATTTTATTAAGTGGTAATGTAAAATATTTGAGAATCATTGACTTAGCCTTCTTATAGAACAATGAAGTAGGCTATTTTAACCTTCAGGTCACATCAGATAGGCCTACATTGTCTTAATAGTGTCTTATCATACACTATTATTTATTATTACATACATACTACTATTACATACATATTATTACATACACTATTATATAAATTCTTGCCATTCACTTTTATTACATTTAAAATCTTTTCACAGAAAGAGCTGGCTCTCTGTTGTACCACAATAACTAATTTATCAATCTTAAACCCCAGGCCCCGAGGACTCTGAGAACCTGCTGCTATTGATTTCTTTTTTCGTTCTTTTTTTTCCCTTTTTTTTTTTTTTTTTTTTTTTTTTTTTTTATCAGCGTGTGGGTTTTATTAGAGAAGTGAGGCTTCTGGCTCTGCACAGTATGGACAAATGATAGAAAACTGGCTAAAGCAAAGCAAAAATAAAGTCACTCAACGGTCGCAAATAGGTTTAAATTGTAAATGTCACAGATGAATTTGACTATAGCATAAATACATACTGATGTATGTCCATGTTTCACCTTTGGGGGGCAGCAGCAGGCTGTTAACGTATGTGTTATACAGTCAACGTGAACTCGAGGAAGAATCACAGGGTCATTGCTTTATGCATTCATTTAATAAAACTTAAAATTGTGATAATTAACTATATGATATTATTTGATATATAAATGAGATAACATACCATAGGTTAATATATAGGGCAATATACACAATTTGCTATGCTATGGGCATTACTTTGGTGTTTATGGTTAATTTTAGAGACAATTAGTATGACTTTAAATAAATTATCCCAACAAAGTAATCATTGTCAAGAAAAATGATCAGTGTTTGTTCTACAAGACAAACCTACATTTGTCTATCATTTATTGCATGACACATTTACAGTTGTCTTAACTATCTTCCATAGATCACGCTGTATTCCCTCTTGGGTTTAGACTTATGACCACTAAAACTGTGGCTAATTTGTCTTTACTACTTAATTACTTTAGTACTTGGGACTAAATTGCCCTTAATAGACTTTATCAATCATCTGTTACCAAACTGAAAAAATATTTACAATAAGGAATAATGTAGGCCTGTCACAAAAATTGTTTGTGTGTTGCGTGTTAATTTTGGTTTTACTTTATAGCTTTTATCATCTGTTACATGTACGTGCACGCTGGAAGCCTGACTCGATTGTGCAAAGAAGTGCTTAATGCTTTTTATTCTTATTATTTTTAGGAGATGTTGAAATGAAAAATTACGGTGAATGGTTCAAGGAGTTCTACCTACGTAATTATTCCCCATATCAGTAAGTAAATAAGATTTATGTATTTTAGTTTGGGCTGTGAAAGCATCAAATGAAATGTGTAAAGCTGAGTATTTTGGCTTGGCATGAAAATAACCGTCCCAAACGACTATTTAGTAGAAAAGCACAGAGTGTACTTTTGGAGACAGAGGGCAGGAGGGACCCGTATTAGCAGGAACACTTGAATGAATTTGAAGAATAGGTTTTTACATGCAGAACAGCCACAATACTGAGCTCTGACTGGCAGACAGTACCAGCTCTCTGTTTCAAATGACGCACACCTGCCTGATTGGAAGGATTTAAAATCTTCTATTGCCAGCAACCAAACAAAGCAAAGGCGCCAATGTACCATTAACCGCCGCATTTTTCAAATCCAACCGATACCCGGATTTAATTAAATTGTGGATTAAAAAAAAATAATGATAGTAATAATTAAAGTGCATGCTTCAAATGAGTGAATATTTTGCCTTAAAGAAAATATAAATCCTGATTTCAAGGGAACTTAATTAGAATAGCCAAATAATGTTTCTAGTATCTAAAAAGCATTTCTACTTCTATTATTCTATTAACCAACTCTATCTAATTCTTTTGAATTCATCCTGTCACTTAAAGATGGATCACAGTTTCCTGCATTCACCACGGAATCTGGTAAAAGACGGTTTAACAAAGAACTAAAGCTTGTCCGTTACAATAGCTTTATAGAAAATGCTATGAGACCTCTCCTGAATGCAGATGTTGCTGTAAATTTGTTCATACACCATCATATAAAAACCCTCTAAATGTACAACATGTTTTGTGCTGTAAAGGCCCAACAGCAATCTTCTTGGTCAAGTGGCTGCCCCTCTATGGTTATATGATCTGTGGAGCCCTGGCTGGCCCCTCAGATGTAAGTACACACAGACAGGACTAATGCTCCGCGCACACACTGCGTCTGACCCGGGGGTCAAGGTGCACTGACTCCGAAGCTCGTCTAACTGGGCCTCTTGAAACTCTTGCCTTGCATTCCAGCGCCCGGAGGAGGGGGTTGTACAGCCAGGCTTATTACCGAGCGAGCGACCAAAGGAAGGAGTGATCCAGAGTGAGAGAAGAGAGAGGGAGGGAGCGCTGGGGGTAAAAGAAGCTGGAAGGTATTATGTGTTATTTCCTCGTCCGTGCAGCCGGGGTCCCTCCTCCTTCACAGCTCACAAGTTGGACACAAGTGAAGGAAATGCTACAAACTTGAACCTGCGCTTGTGGGGCTGCCTGCCTCGGCCCTCCGCGAGTCCTCCGCGAGCTTCTTGTTTTCTTTTCCTGTCGTTTACTTGGAGCGCAGGACTCTCACTTTCTCCCTCCCTTCCTCCTTCTCCGGTGTCAGTGAGCCACTTTGTTCAGCAGCTTTTCCCCATGTTTTGTGCAGGAGACGCACTTGGAAAAGCCAGTTGGATTTGGAAGATACTGACGCGAACGCACAGCTGCAGCCGTCCCCTCCATCTCTACACCAGGACCAATGTCCCCCTCACTCCCTCCCTGCGTGTGCCTGTTACTCTGCCTCTTTTGGGAGGTGGGGGCGCCATATGGGAGCTCCAAAAAATGGAAGTGGATAGACAGTTCACGGGCTTAGATTTTGCGCTCTTTGCGGTAAGTTTTTCAATTAAATTCTTGTTACTTAGTCTGTTCGCTTTGGGATACACCTTATTTCACACAGTAAGCATTCAGTTTTGTACTTTCCTTGTTTTGTAACCGTTCATTAAAACCGCTGATGTTGGTTTCTTTGTGAAAATATTTAGTTTAGATTTTTATTTGTAACAATTGATAAGTTTTTCGCAGTTTGAAGCAGGGGAAGGCTTTGTGCTTTTGAATTTGAAGTTTAGAGGGTCAAGGTAGAACTGGGGCCATGTGGGGGAAGGGAGTCTGGAGGGGTCAAAGAGACTGGCACTTGGCCCAAACAGCACAATGGATCTGACATTTTTTAGCATTACCCAGAACAGGCAAAACAAGAGTGAATTCAGGTCTGAAAAACAACATGTTTATAAGTTAATAGAACTTATTTCGTAAGTATTAACTATTTATTTCAGATGGGGTGCACAAGATATTTAAATCGGGTATTGAGTTGGCATCATTGTTAAATTGTGAAGCCTGCAGTTCGATAATAGAATGTCCTCTACGTGCAATATTGTGTTTATTTTAATAGAAAAATCTTATTATGCCTAGTTTAGACCTCAACGAACACATCTGAAATTCATGGGCTATTTCTATTAGTTTGTCTGTATTTCAGTTTTGTCTTCTGGGTTGTTTACACCATGCACTTCAATTTTTTTTTAAACATATATCTCAAATCTAATTGTAGTACATGTTAGAAAAATCTCAGTTTGTTTCTGTTTTTTGTCCCCTCAAAATCTTCACTTCACAAGTTTCAATTGTTCACATTTACAAATGATACTGGCTTATGGATGGCTGTTGTATTAGTATTTGTAAAGTCTTTTTTGTCCAGAGTGAATTTAAGATCTCTTTTTAGAAAACTCGAGGGCTGCGATTTCTACGTCTCACCTCATGGGCTCATTTGCTCAGTGAGGTTTTGACCCCTCTCTCTCTCTCCTCTCTGAAATGGACTTGCTGTGTCTCCCCTGTTCCCTGCATTCATTAGTAGCTTGGGAATCAAATGTCTCCACTGGCATTAATGCGCTCCTTTCTTATGTGGCCATGTAATTAAAACTGGATTTTTGCAGGAGCTAAAGTACAGTGTGCCTGAAGTAGTCCAACTTTTACTTTTTCGTTTTATTTAGAGAGTATTTTGCAGTGTAGCCTTTGTTAAAATAGCTCGTAGTAGAGGTCTAATTTTGACAAGTGGGTCACATTAATAAAGCACAAGACCCATACCAGAAGCCTCTATATATAAAAGGGGTATCATATTACAAATGCTTACAGATGCTGCTGTTTCATATACTGTAATTGTGTATGCGAATCTGGCGTCATCTTCTTTGGACCTATACGTCAACACAAAAACATTACAGTTATAACAGCCGTCTTATTTTTGACAAGTGGGTCACATTAACAAAGCCTATTCCAGTAGCCACTATTTTTATTAGGACTCAAAGTTTCGATGTAAGTTGTAGCTGTAGTATTGATGCTTACAGATGCTGCTGTTTCATATACTGTAGGGCTACATATGAAGAGATAGATATATCCTAATCTCTATACAGTATGTCACAATAATTATTCAACTTATTCAATAAATAAAAGCTGGAACTATATTTTTGAGGCTCTGTATTTATTACGTATGTATTTTCTGTGCACTGGTGGGATTTTTTTCCTTTTTTTGTAGTACAACAGATTCGAGTTGTACTACGTAGAAGTTTAATAGTGTTGTCTTTTTAGTCATTTTTAAGAATATGGTGCATTTAGAAAAGGGTTGACTGGCCTGGTACTTATTTAAAGTAATCTTGTATGGAAATCATTAAATATTGATCACCCAGCATCTGCAGTTAAACAGTTAAATATTTTGCACAGTTCTTCAGCTGAACCAGGGCGCATGTGAGTCTTAGTCATATTGTGTGGATTCATGCAACAACAACAAAAAAAACATTACATTTCACTGACTATATTTTAAATAGCTTATTCTGAAGTAGATCACATTAATAAAGGACAAGACCAGTGCTAGGAACCACTGTATTTTAGAGTGTAAAAATAGTTCCAGTTTCCTGTTAGGGCTTTTCTCAGTTCTAAAGATATAATATTTTGGTTTAATTTGACAATTGCTATGGCAATGGTCCTAATTTTTCATCATTCTGAAACCCATGGACTGTCCACAATATACTAATGTGAAGTAATCTTGTGTGGATTATTTTATCAACAGAAAAACATTACACCTGTGTCCCTCATCTTATTCTTGAACAGCTCATCTGCAGTTAAAGAGTTAAATTTTGCACATAGTTCCTCCGTTAAACCAGGGAGTATGTTAGCCTGACTAGCTAGCGCTGCTTCCTCCTCGCATAGATGATAGCTGGGGTTTGTTTGTTGCCCTTAATGCCAGGTGAAAACACATGGTCCGTTAACCTCAGTGACTTCGGCGTGCTTCTCTTTTAGCCTCCCCCTTACACGAGCCGTGCTTATAAATGAGTCCAGTTGTTTGCGAGCAGTGAAAGCGAAAGCGCACTTAAAAGCAGTGATTTATTAGTTGTTAGTTTGTTGCTGCCATGTGAGTGACAGAGGTGCCATTGAGGATGAAAACAAAAACTCCCAAATGTAGGCAACCACTGACGGCTTCAGGAAATGGTCTCTTTTTCCGCGACTCAGCGAGAAGAGAAGTTTAAACATTACTTTTAACAGTGTTCTCCAAAGAAAATGTTGGCTTTTAGAGGTATCCTGTGGTGTGTTAAGTGTTAGATACTTACTTGTCGACCTGATTTACCTGTTGATGGCATATTTCTCCTAAAGTTAATGATGCTGTGTGTGATTTTTACAGTCTTAAAAATGTCGAAAACAGAATTAGTTCATTTTTAACAGTTTGCAGTTATTCCTGGCTTACCTTATGCATTCAGAACATCTTAATTATTCCCCATGATGAGCTTAAAAGAGCTTTTTCACAACTCTCAGAGGTCTAGAGCAGAGTTCATTGTCACAGTAAAGCTAACAGCTAGCATGCTAACAGTGCACTTATTGATTATTAGACAAACAAAATGCTTTATAATTAGATGCAGACAGTTGAAAGTAGATGTTTTTGACACCACAAGAGCTGCTTGTGTGCTTACAAATTTTGCTCAAATATAGAAAAAATTGGGAAAGATTTATCTGAATGCTCCAATTAACCTGGGATGTACATGTGAGAGATTGTTGTCATTTGTTTGATACAAGCTCTTGAAGAACATGTTAAAACATAATATTGTAATATTGCCACCTGCGCCCAAAGGTGCTCTAAAACTGGATTGCCTTTGTGTTGCATCAGATTCACTCTAAACTAAACAAATGAATTGCACGCAGAGCTTATTGGAATTACTGAATAAAACATTATTTTACTTTTTTTACTGAATATTTTGTTTATTTGTAAATTGTTAAAATGTAGAGGGTTCAAGTGCAAAAGAGGGCAAAACTAGTGATTCATATTTCACTAGAAAACTCAATGCTAGTCCGACGGCTTTTTGTTTAGTTGAATCATCAAATGCCCTATTTATTGCTAGAAATGCATGAGGTATGGCCAAGACTCTGCAAAATTTGTACTGTTGCAAGCCTAATATTTTGTATTTGTTAGCAGATTTTCACTTGTTTGCCATAATGCAACATATGCCTGTATTCTGTATAAATATAAGTTTAATTTTTCAAAGTCAGATTTATACAAGGCGCTTATAATCAACTTGTGATTTTGTTTATTATATAAAAGTTAGTATCACCTGGCATTAGAGCTTTTTTGTATTACAAATTATTGGGTATCAAACATCGTATTTCTCTAAGCTCACATCCAAGACATTGTATTTTAGCTGAAGTGGTCCCCATTGGGCTGGATTTTAAAGTGGGTGATGTCATGTCTGTGATGGAGAGTGTGTCCACTTAATCCATTCTTTATGTGTCACTCCTCTAAAGCTGTTTTAGTCCTTATTAACATCCAAAGGTTTTAAAGCATGTTGTAGAATTCCATAAATAACACAAATGCTTGTTTTAATGTTTGTTTTATTGTTTGTAACATTTAGACAATACATAATTTTTCATGTGTCTTTATTTTAAGCGATCAGTGAAATGAGCAAATGAGATCCACTAGAAGACCATCAGGTGCACAGGTCCACAGCACAGGGCTTCCAGGGAAATGGCTTCCATACATTTAGCATTTCCTCTTTGGGGCCTGTGACGACGTTGTGAGCTGGGGGGGTTGGGGGGCTTTGGGGGTCTGGGGGCTGCTGATGCAGACACAATGGGCAAAGACAAACATTATCAGTGAGACAAAGGGCAGCACACGCGGGTCACCGGGGGGTAACTCATCCCATTATTTCAGGGAAGTGATCTTAACCGCAGGACTTTTAAAGTCGTCAGCAAATTAGGAGTTTGTGTGTGGCCGGTCATGATCACAGCGTCCTGTTTATAGACCCCAGACAGTCACAACATGACTGCATTACAGGCTCTATGTATCAGGAGCAAGCTATCTATATATGTACTGAAATACTACTCCACATTCTTGTCTATGTTTAAAAACACTAAAAGGCTACATGTCACAATAAGTACTAAACATACTCTTAATCACTGTGTTATTTATCGTCCAAAGCAATTAATATTAGACATGTTTGTGAAATTATTCATTTTCATCAGTGGACCCATCCATGAAAAATGATGCTGGAATGATAAAAGGCCAAAGCACTTGAGTGCTGTGATGTAGGTCAGCTTTTAACCCTTTTTATTAGGCAAACAGCCTGTCAAGTTGTGCTGTAATTTATGACTTGAAAAACAAGGCATCAATTACACGGTAATTACACGCTCTTAAAGCTACTACTTAACAGCTCGGCTTTATGGACATGTATATCATTGTCCTACCTGTAAGCTGTTGTTTTAGGGTGTTTAAGAACAATAGTATTATACAATTAACTGTTTAGTAAAAATATTTTTATGTAGGATTTTCAACAGCAACACCTTTTTGTCTTTAAATGTAAGTATTAATT